GGGGTGCGCTTCAACTCGCCTAGGGCATCAAAATGGCTAGAGCCAGCACTGTTTCCGTCATTTCCTCTATCACTAAATATTAAAAAAACAACCGTATATTTTAACAGAAAAACCAAAGAATGAACCACACACAGATTAAACTTTAGTGTTTTTTGGTATTTACTATCTAATGTATGTAACGATCTGCACAATGTTCTGATTGTTTAACAAGTAAGTCCAATACTATTGTTTGATATTTGAAAATTAGTCATTTTCTCTATGTTTTCTTCTTTTTTGTGTCAGGGCTGTTCAAGCACTCCCTGTCCATCTGCAGAGCCTTGCTGTCTGACCTGGTGTTAGAATCTGAGCGCCCCCTGGTGATGGGACACTTTAATGCAGCTTCCAGTGTGGGCTTTATACTTGGTCCTGTGGTGGGTGGATACTTCACAGAGCAAGAAGGAGGCTTTTACGTGTCCTCCTTTACTTGTGCTGCAATCTTTCTTATTAATGCTGGTGAGTAAAGATACAGTAAAAAAATAACACATTCTCTGAGGATCTTCTGAAAATTAAGTGTTTTAATGTTTTTCCTCCTTTCAGGGTTGGTGTGGATGCTACCCTGGACCGAAACACTTGCTGACCGTAATGCAACAAATCACAGCAACAACACAAGTAAAGGATGTCATGACGAATACTGCAGCAAGTCAGTGCAGAATGGTTCTCATGCAAAGAGCCAGAAAGAAAAGACTGAAGCAGCTTCCAGATCTTCTTGGAAGCATCGTCTCAGGTGGAGAGTGGTGCCTCTGCTCCAGCCTGCCTGGGGACAGCTTTCCTCGGTGAGCTCCAGGATCCACATGGTGGCCTCATCGGACATGTGGGACCTCTTCCTTGTGCGTCTCCTGATGGCCGTAGCCATCATGCTCTACTACAGTAACTTCGCTCTGGCCATGGAGGAGCGTTTCTCCCTCAAACCAAAAGTGACAGGTTATCTGATCAGCTACAGCAGCACCTTGGGGGCCCTGGCTGGGTTCCTGGTGGGGCCCGTCACCCAGCTCTATAAAAACATGGCCGCCCTGTTGCTTCATTCCACAGTGCTCACCTGCTCCCTTATTTTCCTCTACGCTGCCGCTCCGAGCGTCTGGCAGGTGCTGCTCACCTCCACCTTCTTTGCCATTTCCACCACTATCGGGCGGACGTGCATCACAGACCTGGAGCTGCAGAGGGGAGGGGTCCACGCCAGCGGGACTCTGATCGGAGCCGGGCAGTCGGTCACAGCTGTGGGTCGGGTTCTGGCCCCGCTCCTCTCAGGTCTGAGCCAGGAGTTCAGCCCCTGCGGTCCTCCCAGTCTGGGAGTGGTGCTCGCTCTGGCAGCCGTGGCTCTGCTCCTCGTCAGGATTCCCAAATGGGACAAAAGAGGAGCGACAAAAGCAGACAAGCTCTGAGAACTCACACCAGGAAATGAACGCAAACCACTCAGAGAAGTGCTTTTATTCACAGGACTCAGCTGTGATGAACAGTGGAACCAGTGTCTCACTCAAGCATGTTGATTGGAACGTGAACTCCTTCTCTCAGATGTGAAGACACGACTCTGGTGAAAACAGTTTGTCACTAACAGTTTTCAGAGGGAGCAGAGTGGAAATGATTTGCAGCGTTTGTGATTAAAAGGCTGCAAAGTTGATTGTGGTTCCAAAGTTTCACAGGACAGAAACTTAGAGGCTTCATTTTTGCACTGTTACTGCATCAGTTTTTAAATGATGTGTCTCTACTACATAATTTAAATTCCAAGAGTTTATTGATAAATCTGTTGAAAAGAGCAACAGATTCATCAAAATGCTAGAATAAAATGATAATTTAGCTTGATTTTACACTTTTTATTCCACTTTTCTAAAGCACTACATAAAAATGGTTCCTGTCGTGGTAAATGAGTGAATTTGATTATTTATCTGAAAATGTGTTCAAATGTAACCAGAAGTCATTTGGTAATTTTTTTTATGTTTTTAATAAATTGTTTCTGAGCACTTGTTTTTCTTAAATATTTCTAGTGAAATATATAAAAATTTAAGATCCATTCATTTACTCATGTAGTTTAAAATCTCTTGTTGCGTCTTTTTAACTAAAACTGTGAAAACTTTATAAGCGTGTGCAACAAAGGCATTTATTGTAGAAATAGGAATAAAGTGTCCACCTGTGTTGCAGACATATGCTGCTTAATTGTACGATTCAACAAAATGGCACCTATTCACAAAAGATGCTTCCTCAGTCTAACTTATATACAATAAAGTAAAAGAAACAATATTTACATTAAAAAACAAAAAATGTCACTTATTAAAATTAACATTTATTAAAACTTTTTAAATAATCCTACAAGATAAACACCCAAAAATAAAGAATTTCAATCACTAATCTAAACGGAGTGAAAGTGTTCACATTTCACGTGCATCACTTTGAGTCTTCGTGCACTGTGCTTCCAGAGTGCATGACACTTCCATGAGGTATTTCTGTATTTTGGATCATTCCACAAGGAAATAAACGCTTTCAGAGTTCATCCAAACGGCAAATGAGTTTTCAGCTGGTCRTCCATCTGAGATTCAGTCTGGGTCGGAGCAGCTGCTGGTTAAAGCCCAGTGAGCTTTAGCATCATTTCTTCCTCGGGGTCCACTTCGGCCGCCTGAGCATGGGGTTTTGAGGTGTGCTGTCTCTGGGTTCAGCTGCCCAGACTGGAGGTGGAGACAAAGGYAAGGCAGAAGAATCCTCTTCTGCCTCGTTTGGATCATTTCTTCTGTCAGCCGAGCCGTTATCAACGGGACGGTTGAAATGACGGCGAGGAGTCCGGACACGGGAGTYGCTGTAGGAGGAGTTGATCCGGGAGACGCCGCGGCCCTTGCTGCCTTTCTCGCTCTCATTCAGCACATCGACAGAGGGGACATCCTTCAGAGTGTCCAGCCGCTGCAGAGGCATCATGGCTCCTGAGGACGAGTGTTTGGGTTGGTTGAAACGAGAGCGCCGTGTGGGGTAGGCCACCTCCGACATGGTTTCACGGTCTGGGACAGGAGGAAAAATAACAATAATAAAATTTAAGCAGGGGTTAAATACTTGTCCTTCTGCATCATATATTGAAAACAACACTCAGAAATTAGAATGCAAACAGACAGTTTAACCTCAACAGTGACACATAAGAAATCAAGAATCTGATAAATCTAATTATTTCCTAACATAAAGCACAAGCATAAGGACAAAGTGAAAATAACTTTGGCAAAAAGTCACACCGTAATAAACTCATGTGGTGTGAAATATTTGAACCATTTCATTTTTATACTGAAAGTATTTTCTGAATCTTACCAGCATAACTCCGCCTCGCAGAGCGAAACCTTGACTCCAGACTCTGTCCAGCAGGATGTGAGAAATACTTCTGTGAATTGGGTACCAGCTGAAATAAAAACAAAAATATTAATAATAATATAAAATAGGGAATGAACTCAATCCAGGATTTTTATTTAACTCTCACCAACCCATAACAGAATTTCAAGGGATGTCTTTTCAGTTTTATAAAACTTTTCTGCATAAATTGATCTAACATACTGTCAAATCCTTACAGTGGGTTTAGTCACTCAAAATAATCAAATTATATTTAATGAAAAAAACGATCCACTCATAGCTGTAATATTTAAACATGAGCAAGATCTGACTCATTTATTAAGTTTGTAATAAATTTCTGATCATTAAAGCAACTTTGTGAAAGTATCCAAAGTGACTCCAATAAAGAGTCACATCAACCTGGAGATAAAATGATCCTGAAACAGTTCATTTTACAAGTCATTGGGCCTCATGCAAGAACCATTCATATGAACAGATTTGTTCTTAAGTTGTTCGTATGAGGAGAGTTTGTGGCATTAACCAATTTTTTCATATTCTAAGATTTTTTTCAGATACGTACGGAAGTGTATTGCTATCACGCAGGGAAAAAAAAATCCGAGTGCTATCACGTTATAACGTGATA